TCGGTTGTCCTAGCAAACAATTCTAAGTGTGTGCAACGGGTTGTGTGGTTTTGATATGTCCTATGTAGGTTAATTATTGACTAAAGTTTTCTAATTGATTGAATTTTAGTTTAAAGGTATTCACTAATCCTAAAGTGAGATGTCACTAAATTTTCTATATTATATATTTCTATCCTAAAGTGTGCATGCATCCTAAGTCTAAGTTTTTTAAGACTCGGTCCTTAATAAGTCTCTACTGTTATATAGGATAAAAATATTTGTTATTACTAACCCTTAGGACTTTGCGTATATGTAAAAGGGGTTTAGGGATCTAAGAACAGATAAAAATAAACCTAATAAAATTGAAGTTACTACAGGGACCTAAAAGGGAAGGGTTCGCACAAACCACATCAAGGGGCCCCTAAAGATTTTCTAAGTTTAGAATACTCAGTCACCGGGGGCTACGACCCGGTGGTTCCGCCCGTAGCACCTCTACCTAGTTGGATAGAGGCGACTGACGTCATTAGCTTCTTGTCCTTTTGTTCCCTCGACCAGTACCGTTCCTCGCAGTTTATGCCAATAAAGAAAAGAAAACAGGGATTAGAAAGCATATTTAATTATTAATAATAAAATAAATGAAATTTATTAAAAATAAAAGACGTACATTTTTTCGGGCTTGAACACCAGTTTGGTTGATTATGTTTTGAAACTTTTACTTTTAGAAGTATGCTTTGTATATTTCCAACATTCACTTCCACTCTTTCAAACTTACACAATTTTCATAAAACAAAATTTATCTCTCACACTTACACATTTCACTATTCCTAAAATAATACTCTCTCTATATATATTTTTTTAAAACACTTTTATACATTTCAATTTTCAAAGAACCTTTCTACACATTTCAAATTTCAACGCATACATTTATCATTTCCAAAATAATACCTCTCATTTTCAAAAATCACTTTTCAAACCAAACGCACACTTTACTTTTCTTTTCCAAAATACACAATTTCCACAAAACTAATATTTTACCTCTTACAATTTGTATATTTCACCATTCCCAAAAATCATATTCTATCTTCCTTTTCAAAACAATTTTATACACTTCACTATTACACATTCACATACTTTGCTTTCACTATACCTTTACATACTTCCCTTTTCAAGTTTTTCATACATTTCACCTTTCCAAATCATAAGAAGAAAACATCCATATATAAGATGAAGCATGACTATGTATACCAATTTCCACCAATCATGATCCACGAAATATGCACACACAAACCTTCAAAATACATATATGCTTTACTCTTCCAAAATATAGACAACTCACCATTCAAAGCTTACACACTTTACATTTCAAAGTCTTTCACATTTCTGAAATATACACTTTTTACTATTCAAAGCCCAAACATTTCACTACTCAACATAAACATACTCTTTTCAAAATATTTAACCTTTCAAAAACACCCACTTTATTTAAGGAAAATGATGCAAAGTTCACTTTTCATCTTTCAAACTCAATACTCCCAACAAATGCAACTCAAAGAAAGAACTAAAAAAATAATTTCATCTCCTTCCAAAACCCATGAAGTTCTCCAACATAAAACATATTATCTTTCCAACAACTTTGTAAGCCTCAAGAACATACATATATAGCTATTAACATAAGGCCATTTGATCACTTTGAGAAGAGAATAGCAACTATAGAATATAAAGAGACCATAATAACTTGTTTCATTTCACTGTCAAGATCTCATTAAAGATAAAATAAAAACAAAATATTAACTAACTGATTATGAGAACTAACCACTAGTGAAGTTTAAGCAAATGATTCAAGAAATCCTCTCAAATTTTGTAAGGACTGACCAAACTATCAATTCCAGTTATTTCTTGGCTATCAAAAATGAAAACTCAGAAATCACTCAAGAATAACAACATCTAAGTTAAGAGGAGATGATTTATACACTATTGCAAATCTAACAGAAATTTGATCCATAGAGAGCTCATCTTATGGAAAAATAATGTAAATCTAAATCTTATTTTCAGATTAAACAAAAAGAAAAAGTGGAATCCAAATTCTTTGATTTCTTCTTAAAGAAAAGAATCAAGATGCATCTCTCTTTTATCAAGTCCTTGTTACCTCTATTCAAACAAATCACAATGTATAGTGAGGGCTTCAGGCGGCATCGACTAGAGCTGTTGTCTACGCGAGCAAGGGGAAGCGACGGGATAGAGGGTGACAGGCTGGGGTTTCGTGAATCAGAGAGGGATATAGAGAGCCTTGGGGATTTCCGAATTATTTGCAAAGTGAGAGCCAGGAGGCGGAGGGGGGCTTTGTGCAAATGAACAGAGAGAGGGGAGGAGGCGGGAGAGATTTTGCCTGGGTTAGTCGCAAAAGAGCAGGGTGACGGAGCCGGAGCGAATTGGTAACTGGGAGGAGGCCTTTTGCGAACTGCAGGGGGACTTTTTTCCTTCTTACAGGCTAGGAGAGGAAGTTTTTTTTGGAAAGAAAAAAAAGGGAGAGAGCATGCGGTTCGTCCGAATCGAGAGGGAGATCGTGCGGGTGGTTTTCGAAAAATGCTGAGGGAGAGGATGATCGTGCGAATTAGAAGGAGAAGGGCGGTGGAGCAGTGGTTTCGCAAATTGGGGGAGCGACGGACTGAGGCTGTTCGGGAGAGGGATTTCGCGAACTGGGGGAGAGTTCGGGCTTAGAGAGTACGATCGATCCAGAGAGGATGAGTTTTGTTTTAGTCTGTGAGAATGGAGAGGAAGAGTTGTCTGGGGATTTTAACGAACTGCAGAAGGGGAGAGGACTTCGTGCGAACTGATCCGGAGAGGGAAACTAACCAAGCTTGAATACAAACAAAAAAGCTCGAATCGAACTCGAACTGAACTTGAACAAACTAATAATAAACAAACTCAAACCTGAACATACACATACTCGACTCGGTTCGATTCGCTTGATGCCCTAAGAAAAATTAATCATTGTTTCCTTTCTATTTTTATAATTTTTTATATCTTAATTTATGACATATTTTAAAACAGGTTTTTGATTTTGCCTATGAGGATGAGATGTATTTTCTTTATTTTTTTTATTCCCATAATGAGGTCAACACATGGTTGGGGCAGACTTTGGTTCACTAGTTTGCAACAAGGTTCGCTTGTTCAATTCAAGGAGTGGTTCATTGGTTTGATTTTATCCTAATTAGTTTTCTGTTTCCCATGATATGCAATTAAGATCTTTGTAGTCTGTTTGACGCTAACATACATTTGGGCCCAATAGTTTCATTGTTTCACGCTAGCAAATTGTTGTTGGTTTCTACCTTTTTTGTATGAGAATAGAAAGCTGTATTTTTCGGGGTCCCTTCTGCAGCTGAATGATTTTACCAACTGAGATTTTTTGAACTAGTAGGCATGCAACAATGAAAAGGTGAAGATAAAAACAAATGGTTCGAGTCATGCATGACATAAACTTTTATTGAAAAAATTCATATTCCAGTTTTAGTTTCATTTGCCTGTTAGATGTTTGTTTCTTTGTGTGTGGTAAAGTGTGATTGCCTGATACTAGTGGAAGTAAGCTCCTTGCATTGGCGCCGAATCTAAATCTTTCCCGATTTGGTGATCTCTTTTTTGAATCTTTTTTGGTCTATTTGTTATGTCGTTACAAGAGTTCTCAATTTAGTCAAATTGGACACAATTGAGAGATTTTAGTTGCAGCAATAAAAATTCAATTGCGCGATGACTTTTTTCATGGCTCTTCTTTTTTTTTTTTGAATTTTTCATATTTAATCAATCACCGCAGTATCGTTTTGATTTAAATTATCAAAATTTCTGGTTTGCAACTGAAAAAAGCAAGTATTTTTGGGCGTGTTTTAGTAGTCTTTAAATTTTGAATTGTAATATTCTTTTGGGACCAACATTCGTTGCAACATCATAGTTGCATTTGCAACCTAGACCTATATATTGGATTATCAGTTTTGGTAACCTTTTTTTAGATGGGACCAACTGCTCTTCACTTCAATAACGTTACCTAAAAAAAAAATAAAAAAAATTCAATAACGTTACCTTTAGAGTTAGGCTTGTTTTTTTTTTCCCCGAATGTCAGGAACCACTGCTCAAACCCTTAGAAAATCCTTGAGTAGCATTAAGCACGGAATTGTTGGTGGATATCATATGTAATATCTATTTTAAGACGCTGTAAATCTTGAAAAGGGTACAAATACCACTAGATACTGCAAATCATTTATTTTCCTCTGCAAGCACATGCATATCTGTAAATAATACAAGTCATATGCCATTTACATGAACAAATATTACAAGGACATTTTTTGCAGTTGCACACCTTACAATGTACTTAATTTTTGGAGAAGTAGAGTTTGTAAATAGTACTTTTCATGTCATATAGATCAACATGCATAAGTTATGATATATTCCTTTCTGGGTTAAGAACATATTAAGATTATTTTTAAAATTTGTAAATGATCTTGCAGCATGCAATATAACCTCAAACTGTTTATTTTTCTCGTAATTTAAAAGTCTCATATGCCAAAAGGAGTTACTATAACTCTTTAGAAGTGTTTTTGCTTCATGTTTCAGCAGCTTCTTTAGCTTCTGTTAGTCACCCAGCTTATACTCGTGTATCTAGGGGAGACATAGGAAAAATTTCTGCTATTGGTGGTGAGACTTTGGCGATCTATGATGCTGATCTAGTCCTAATGCGTTTAAGCCTCTCTTTTTTTGGAGATATCCGTACTCTTAATTTTTATCATTCATTTTATTGTGACTAGTAATGAGTGATTCACTTAGACCTCCAAGTCGAACCCTATGATATTATGTTACTGTACATTTTACTTTAAGTTTGACTAGTAGTTATGATTTACTGTTCCTAATTTCTGTTTGTTAGACAGTTCATTTGTTATTATGCATACATTATAATTTTTTTGACTATTTTTATATGCGGATAATTATTTTTATCTGTACTTACTGTCTATTTCAATTTGCATCACTTCTTGGAGGCAATTGAGACAGGATGGCTTCCAGGAGATATTCTTGATGATGTACCTTGCAAATATATCAATGGTTCTGTCATCTGCGAGGTCAGTGAACTATTGTATACCCCAAAACGTTTAACTATTAATTACTGTGCTCTGGCTATATGGCATTTTCAATTGGGAGGTCTTTTTGGTGGAAAGAGTCTTGCTACATTGGTTGTTCACATGCAACATTGATTCCAAGTTAGATTATGCTACCATATAAATTTGAATTGGCCATTTGGAATGACCTTATGTACGACCAATTTTCAAGTCTTTATAATTACAAATATAAAGGATTCATGTAGCCGACCCCACGTAGTGGGATAAATACTTGATGTTGTTGTTGTATAATTACAAATATAAGTTTAATTTACCCTTTTTTGGACATCTTCCAATCTTGTATGGCTTATGTTGACGTCAGACTCTTTTTGCTTCTGGTTAGCTATTGTTTCTATGATTGTACAATTGAATTGTTTATTTTTCAGAGTCCATAATGTATCTTAAAGTTCTGCTGTTTTTCAAATCTTAACATGTAACTGATTTGCTTATTTGTAAATATGAGATCATCTTTTTCTCGTAACCTATTGTGTTAGACACAGGCATTTAACTCTTCATGTGAACGAATTGCTTAAAGAGGGTTAATACAAAATAATAATTTTCTCCAATTTTGTTATGGTACCAGTAGTTCAACCACCTTGGTGAATGTGAATGTGCGAGCATTTGTATTCTTGCTATCAGAATCATTTAGTGAGAAGCTTTAGTTGGTAATGTATGTAGTTCTTTTCATCTCAGATTCTTGATTTGTAAGTAACCAATAATAAAATACTAATTCCATGCATGCGTCACCAGCATGACTCGGCAAACTCGAAAGTATACTTTATAGCTCTTTCATCCATACAAGTAGTGTGACTTCATGTTGTAGAATACAATACAACAACAATTACTGAGCAAAGCCTTAATTCATTTTCCATATCATGTTATTTCAAGAATGGACGTTATCAATAAAACATGATAACAATTGAACAATAGATGTTATATGCATCGATAGTAAACATTCATTTCACTCAAGGTTTAAAAAGACGAAATCGGGAATCAAAGCGTTTTGCCTTAGCAAGGCGAGGCGTCGGTTCGAGGTGTAAGCCTCAAAACAGACTAATAAAAAAACACACAAACTTACAAATAATTCATAAAAATGAAAAAAATAAAATAAAACATCAACACATTTATTTGATTCGTCATTATAAAGATCTAAACTACAAATTCCAATATTAAATGTTATTATAAAATAAAAATTTGAAATGAGATTCAAAGTAAACACTCATTTAAAACTTAAATGCACCATAAAGATTAGAATCCACGGCGGTCTCATTCGTATTTTCATATTTTTCGTAATAACTCTCATATGTAATAATTATATCATCATCGAATTCCGACTCAAACATTCTTCAATTATAACATTTTTTTTAAATTTCCATATTAATTAATACTGGATTCAATGTAATATAAAACAAAGCAATATAGTAATATAAAGCAAAGTAATCCATTATATTTAAATCACCATTCGATATTTTTTTAAAAGTTTGAACTCCACTTTGCTACTTTCTATTAATTACTTGTGAAGTAGAAGTTAATCACAATTTAGTAATTATTTTAATATTAGCTTTAATATTTTGATTCTTCTCATTATCAAACTCATTCCTCCATCCTTCTGTAAATTACTTGTGTCATACTTTAAACTATGGGAGAGAGTTATGGAGCATAGGTTGCGGCTTGACACTAATGTTTCTCAAAATCAATTTGGATTCATGGCAGGTAGGTCTACTATGGAAGCTATACCTTTATTGAGAGGTTTGATGGAGAAGTATAGAGAGAATAAGAAGGATCTACATATAATTTTTTCTTTGATTTAGAGAAAGCATATGATAAAGTTCCATGAGAAGTTCTATGGAGAGTTCTACATAAGAATGAGGTTAATAATGCTTATATTCAAGTCATTTAGGATATGTAGGTAGGAGCTGTTACTTGTGTTTAAACACAAGGTAGTTTGACCAAGTATTTTCCTTTTTTTAGTTGGATTACAACAAGGATCAGCCTTAAGCCCATATCTTTTTTGCTTTAGTCATGGATGTTCTCACCTGAAATTTGCAAAAGGTTGTACCCGGTGTATGATTTTTGCTAATGATATTCTTATTGTTGATAAGACTAGGAGGGAGTTGAAGTTATACTTAAATTATGGAGGTCAACCTTAGAGTTTAAAGGCTTTCATTTGAGTAAATCTAAAACTGAATATATGGAATGTAATTTTAGCAATAATAGATATAGTGGAGGATCATGACTTTGGGCGATCAAGTCATTAATAAGAGTACACGTTTTAGATATCTTGGGTCTATTGTTCAGAGTGATGGTGAAATATATAGGGATATTATTAGTAGAATTCAAGTTGGATGGTTGAAGTGGAGCAATGCATTGGGCTTGTTGTGTGATAGAAAAGTCCCTTTCAAACTTAAGGAAAAGTTATATAAGATGGTAGTGAGACCTACAATGCTTTACGATGCATAATGTTTTCCATTAAAAGGGAAACATAATATTAAGTTAAGTGTTTTAGAGATGATGAATGCTCAGGTGGATGAGTGGCTTTACTCTTAGAGATAGATACGAGATGAGTATATATGTGAAAAGGTTGGAGTAGCTCCAGTAGAAGATAAGATTAGAGAGAGTCGTCTTAGATGGTTTAGTCACATAAAACGACGGCCTTCCGATGACCCGGTTAGTGAAGTAGATCTATTAAATTTGACTTGTGTTAAGAAAAACTTGGTTATAAAATATTAGAAATGATATTTCTTTATTAGATTTAGATGAAAAATTGACTCTTAACATGACACAATGGAGAAAAAAGATTCATGTAGTCGACCCCACATAGTGTGATGTGATAAAGGCTTGTTGTTGTACTATTTTTTGTTATTATCCATTTATCATTAGAAAGTATATCATTAACAACCAAAGGATTTATTCTATAATCACCAGTTATTCGTCTTTATAATTTGAAGTGCTTATCTTTGAAATTTTATTTAAACATAACACAACCATTTAACCTTATTCATTCATTCTATAGCTAATTGGTTCATTCTCTTTGTATAATAGAAGAAAGTATATATATTAATAATAATAATATATAATAAAAAATTATAAAACTTAACTATAATGAGGCGTTGCCTCAAAATGCTTCTAGGCGTTAAGCTTGAGGTGTGTGCCTCACTTAAAAAAGTCATAAACCTCACTTGCAACTAGCGAGGCTTAAGCCTCAAGACACTCATTGTGGGCCTCAGTTCGAGGCGTACCTTGAGGCGTGAGCCTTGAAAGAATTTTTAAACCATGAATTTTCACTATAGACTTATGTAACTAAGCATTGACGAAACAATAATAATGTCAATGTTAACATTCTTTTCATCACCTAGGTGGCTATCACCCAATCATAATAAGTTCTTCATATTATTTTCTATTGGCTAGGGGCATATGTTACCCATGACTTTGTGCAAATAACATCCAATCTCATACATGTCATGTTATTTCAGGAACGTATGTAATCAGTAAAACATAATAGTTGAATAATAGATGTTATATACTTTAATACTAATAATAAAAAAATCAAGAACATTACCATTCATTTCATGCTGACCTTCATATACATGGTATGGTCTAGGGGTGAACTCGTTTTTTAGCTTATTGACTCGAGTTCGAGCTTGGGATTTGGCTCGCGAGTCGAGCTTGAGTTAGACCTGACTCGTGCGACTAGACTCGTTTACACCCTTAGTATAATCAATGCAAGCAAAGGCAAGGATGACCGACAATTGTTGGTGGGTGTGACATTGTTGAAGTCACTCAAACTTCATCTGGTTATAAAACGAATCCACTGACGCACTCAAGACATCGAATTTGCTAAGAAGAGTCATTCATGCGCAACTTGGTCGAATAATGATAAAAAAGAGACCATTGGGGAGCGCAACGTTCAGTTGTGCATGAATGACTTTCAATCATTAAAAAGACTGTGTCGATGCGTTCAAAACATCTAATTTACCTAGGAGGGACCACCTCCATGTTCAATTCGAGCGAAGATGGTCAAAATTGACGAACTACGGGTGCGACGATGTGCAACATCATACGAACGATGTCCGTTCATGAAACGAACTTCGCCGTTGTGTTTGAAACGTCAAAAATACTCAGAGATGGCTGTAATATCATGCGTCTGCCTCCGCCTCCGTATCATAATATTGCCTGGGTCTTTGCACGGGCAAAAATACAAATTCTGCATGAATTTTGAGGCGTCACACATATCGAGGTGCAAGAGGGTGAAGAAAATTACATGAGGATCGGCACAGCTCTTTTTAAATATTATTCTAATTCAATTTTATAAAATATAAATATATACTGCTAAAAAAATCTAAATAAAATCCTAATCCTATATCCTGCCAATCTCGTGTCCCAAGCCCTGCATAGTCGCCTTATCTTTGCTAAAAGAATTAAAATAATAATTATAATAACAATAAAAAAAATAAATGACTAGAATTAAAGTCAATACCCATACTCCCTCATTCACTCTAAATGCCCCTTCCCATTTTTTGCTCTTAGCCGCTGTTTACCCACGGCCGGCACCCACACCGTTCCAGTACTTCTGGTTTGTGAGTGTTATTGGTTTAAGTCAAAACAATTGCAATTTTTTTCTCATTGGGTATGAATCTTTTCCGATTTATGTTTTAAAATGGTTTTTGTTTACTTGATGATTTTCTTTGACTTAAACAATTATTAATTTTTTTCTTGTTGTGGGTTTCTTGAAATTTTTTATTTACATCAAAAGAAAATAAGTACTTGCTTTAATTAACAGTCTTTGAAGTTGTGAATTCCAAAGTCAATTTGTTTGATTTTCATTTGCTGCATCATTTAGTTGCGTTAGGAATCTTAAATCCTAAGACATCCTACATCTTATGATATTATATTCTTTCCGGTGTAAGCGGCGAAATATTTTCATTCTTGCTTTTAATTGAGCTTCTGATAAGCCTTCTTTGATCATAGTATGTAAGTTGAAATTTTCATTTATTTAAGGTAAAATAAATTGTGCTCATTTACCAAATTTCCTTACTTTCCAGGTGCGCGATTATAGAAAGTGTACACTAGAACAAGGGACTATTGCTCCTATTGATGCTGTTCCTGTTGTAAACAGAATCCGTCTTCGGATGTCTCTAGAAAATGTTGTTAAGGATATTCCTTTAATAGCGGATGATTCATGGACTTACAGTGATCTTATGGTACTTCACTCTGTAAAAATTGATAATTCTATTACATTTTGCTAGCAAATATTTAAGTTTACATGAATTCTATATTTTTTGATGCTGTAGGAAGTTGAGTCCCGAATATTGAAAGCCTTGCAGCCAAAACTTGACTTATCCCCTACTCCTATGTTGGACAGGCTTTGTGCTGACCCTACAATTATTAAGGTATTGAACATATGCTGAAAATCTTACCGTTCAGAATTATTTTTGCAAACAACTAAGTTCCATCTTGCATAATTATGTTGCAGCTTAATGTTGATGTGGGAAGGAAAAAAAGGTTGCGACCAGCTACCGAAGTCACGATCACCTCCAATAATCAACCTCATGGGAAAAAGATTTGCATTGATGGAGCACCTGAAATTGCTAACAGTGAAGGAGATTCAGGAACTGTGTTAAGCAATTTAGCTATGCAACAAGCTCATGAGAATGCAACCACTCAGCCTGGGGTTATTTCATCTTCACGGTCAAACAATCCTTTTCATGAAGCCGCTAGGCCAACTTTAACTGTTCCAGGTCATACAAAGTTTCAATCTGCTGTCAACCAGGCTGGAGTGATTCAGGATCATGGCTTATCTCCTGCAAATTATGGGGTCAGTGCCAGCATTTCGTTGCCTCAGAATATGGTTGGCTCGTACACAGATACTGCTAATGCTAATTTTTCTCTGCCTGGACGAAGGGAGACTCAAAGTTCCCAGTCAACATCAATGCCAGGTTTAAAGAGACCAAGGCAGAATGCTGCAGGTCTCGATGGTATTTCAACACAGCAGGTAGCTGCTCCGCTAGGTGGCTTTAGTGGGCAAGATATGCAGTGGAAGAACCAGACTGTGCATCCACAGATTGATGCCAAGGGGTTTCAGTACTCCAATGTTGGGGTCCCAAGGTTTTCTCAGATGAATCAAGAGGCAGTGACATCTATTTATTTTAACCAGCAGGTGATGAGATATGGGCCTAAGGAGGAGCAGATTGACTCGGATAAGTTGGATAAGCAAGATCTTGAGAGATCGAAGGATTCTCTACAGGCGATGACCACTGACAATTCATTGGATCAGCACCAATTACGTGCACAGCATCAAGCACATCAGTCATCTATGAGGAGCCATCTTCCACCTCTTACACAGTGGAATAACCCACGGTTGCCAGTTGAGAAGGATATGAGAAAGGAAGATGTGCTTCAAAAACGGAAGACATTACCCAGTCCACGTGTTTCTTCTGGACCATTGGTTCAATCTCCTATGTCATCAAAATCTGGAGAGATATCCAGTGGCTCGGTAGGTGGTCAATACAGCGCAATGGCTGCAACTTCTGCACAGACTTCACAGTTGGACAAAGTACCTACAAACTCAAATAATGCGGTTGGAGCCCCTTCTGTTGTTTCTAGTCCCAGTGATTCAGTACACAGACAACCCCAAGTTTCTGCTCCTCTAAAACGGAAAGCAAATTCTGTCCCCAAAACACAAGTCATGAGTGGGGTTGGATCTCCTGCAAGTGTGAGTAATTTTAATACTCCATTGAATGCTAGTAGCCCGTCAATAGGAACATCGTCTATGGTTGATCAAGTGCTAATGGAAAGGTTTGCGAAGATTGAAATGGCAACCCAAAGGTATGACTGCACTCAAAAGCATAATTCATGCTCATAGTTGCTTGCGTTTACACAAGTTTGGGCATATGAATATGTTTAAATTTGCACAATGGTTTATGCGCCACATATACTTGGATTGCATGATCACTTATGCTGTGTTTATTGATGCTTGTGGTGTTTATTGAGGGACTGTCCACAAAGAAGTGAAGGGAATAATTTCTAGTAGATTAATATGAAAACATGGAAAAAAAGAAAAATGAGAATTAAATAGATCTGGGCACAACCTCTTAATTTTACAAGTTTATAAATGCTAGATCACATAATTACTTTTTTTATGATAAAAGGACTAAACTGATCCCTTGACTTTTTATGAAAAATCAAAATAGTTCCCAACTATATTAAAGAATCATTTTTGTCCAGCAACTTCTGAAGTAGAATATACATGCGAAGATGAGTTGCTTAAGGAAATTTGCACGCTTAATATTCCTAGAACAAATAATTATATCTTAATGGTGAATTTAAACGACGAAATAAAGCACAAAGAGCGGTAAGACAAGCTTAGGCCGAATCACGCTCGTAAAAGTTAAGATCAGCAAACAAACAAGTTAATCATACGTTGCATACATGAATGGTTTCAACAATAAATCCCAATGCTAACAATAAGATTAGTCACTCTGATGAAATTCTCTCACTCAACTCATTAAACTCTAGGATTAAGCAGAGAACAATTGACAAGATTTCTTATGAATCAATTAAACCACAAAATAGAGTAACGAAGGAAATAAAGGATTAGGGAAAGAGTTCACCAATTTCAAGCAGTAACCAGCGGTGGATGACCTCAAATCAGCCACCTCTTTAATCTACGAGATCTGGATAGTCATCTGGAATAAGTATGGAATTCTGGACAGCGGTTGGGGCCTCCCGGGTGAGGGTGTGGTGCAAAAAATTAAACCAATTTTTATAACAAATCTTCTTATTTTTAATCTTTTCTTGCACAATTGGATTCCACCACCAACTATTTTTACTATTAGGAGCTTTTCCCTTAGATACTCCAAGCACATCTTTTGCAATATTCTTAATATCACTAGCCACTTTTTCCCACATAACATTAGCATCCTCATGCACAGACAAAATCTTAAGATCTAAAATCTTACTCACAAAAATATTTTGGTTAATATTCTTTAAATGCCCCCATCTAATCCTCGAAAAACGTTTTACTTTATTTTTTATTTTATGCCCCTTTATCTTAAAGTCCAAAACTAATAATCGATGTTGGGTACATAAACTTTCACTCGGAATAACTTTACAATCTTTGCAATCTAAACGGTTTAATTTTCTAATAAGAAAATAGTCAATCTGGGTTGTACTACATCCATTTTTATAAGTGATGAGATGCTCATTCCTTTTCTTAAATAAGGTATTAGCAATTGAAAAATCATAAGCTAAACAAAAATCTAATATGGTCTTGCCACCTTCATTCGTCGTTCCAAATCCATGGCCACCATGAATGCTTTTAAAATCAACTACCTCTTTACCAACATGTCCATTTAAATCTCCTCCAATAAAAACTCTTTCTTCAAGAGGTATCTTTTGTATTAATTCTTCTAAGTCATTCCAAAAATTTAATTTAGAACTTATATCCAAACCTACCTGAGGAGCATAAGCACTTATAATATTAACAATCTTATCCTAAACAACAATCTTTAAAGATATAATTCTATCACCAATCTTATTAATTTTTATAACATTATCCTTTAAACTCTTATCTATAATGACACCTACACCATTTCTAGTACGACTCCTACCCGAATACCAAGTTTAAATCCTAAACTATCGATTTCCTTGGCCTTCTCTCCAACCCACTTAGTTTCCTGAATGCATAAAATATTTAATTTTCTATGAATCATAATATCTATTAACTCCATTAATTTACCTGTAAGGGAACCTATATTCCAAGTTCCTATCCTAATTTTAGTATCATGGACTAGCTTCTTTGCCCACATCCGTCCTTGATGCGGGAACCCTTGCCTATTTTTAAAGATTTGATGGACCAAAATAGCCTTTTAATATAGTTGTGAATTATTTTGGTCCTTCATAAAGAGTCAAATGACCATTTTGGTCCTTTTCTCCTTTTATTATATTTATAAATATAAGATCACTAAATTATCATATATCAAGTCCAAAATTTATGACTTTTAATTGAGCAAAATCTTGAGGTTTTGATATCTTCTGTGACATGGTAAACTTGGAAATAATCCTACTTCTACACTTTGAAGCTGAATGTTTATTGAAAATTGTGATTTTGAGCAAATGATTGATTTATCCTTGCTTCATTATGTGGAATAAGGTATATGCTTAAGAAATCTACTAAGATTATTTATGTTGAGATGGTAAAAAATTTGGTGCAATAATTTGTATTTCGTTTGTTATGGAGAATGCATTAATATGCCATATATAGTGATTTGAAAGGATTCTGTTCGTTTATAAACAACTCACAAATTCATGCAGAGACTGCATTCTTAAACTTGGAAAACTCAGCATTGCTTCTTTAAGTTACTGAAAAGATATAAAATTTCATGGGCCTCTTTTAAATGATCCTAATTTTTACCGTCTTTTATTCTTTGATATGACTAAATGGATTTTTACGATGGAAATTATGCCTCCAATGGAATTTATAGTAGCGGAGTCCAAAACTTTCATTTGGATGTACACTTTTTTTTGGTTTTTGAGCCATTGATTGTTTTCCAGCTGGGCCAATTTTCCCCTTAATTTTTCCTCATATTCTCTACTATTTATTCCTACAATAATTTTGTTCAAAGGCTTGATTATTAGGGCTTGGAACATCATCTTATAAGGTTTTGGAACATCATTATTCCAACTGTTTGTGTCTGACTTTTTGAATCCTCCTTCATTCATTCATGTTGATTGTATTTGTTTGTGAGATGCTAACCTTAATTTTGTGCAATTCCTTTCGCCCAATTGTTTATGTATTTTTTTCATTGGTTTAACAACTTTTCTTCTTATTCTTCAATGTTAATTCTATTGTTCATCTTATTATATTTTTTATTATATATATTTAGATCATAATGATTTTACAACCTCTCTAATATAATATTATTTCCCAGCCAACCATTTATTTTTATTGACATGCATTAATATTAGATTTCTTATTTCTGTTAGATTTAATTTTGCCATCAGTGACTTCTTTATTACCCAAGACTTGAATCCATATACCATACTTAATCAATTGCAGTTATCTTAAACCATATATTTGTTATAACATACTCTATTATATAATCATATGAGGCATTCTTTTCTCTATTTTGAGCTCCCATGTTTCATGCTAGAAGTTATTTCATTCTTAATATTTCAAAAATTTTATATCATATCCAAGATGCTTAAACCTATCACATTTATACACCACTCATTCTTGTAATAATATTGACTTGTAATTATTTATATTACATAGATTAAAACTATGGAAGAGATAATATAGTGATCCATTACATTTGATCTATTCAATTGTTTTTATAATTCTAAGCACAACGCCTTACCAAGTCCTTGTCTTACTATAATGTTTCACCTACTCTAGAAAATTTCTTGTTCATCAATGCTATGATATTCACAAATAACATGTAACAAAGTATGTGAATTTGTTTACATAATTGTTAGTATCCCCATAAAAAAAAAGATAGAAGGTCTATTTGGGGTAGTTTTTAACAGCTTTGCTATTCAAAAAGCTGTCACAGTTATGTTTGGTGACAACTTTCTTTTTTTAAAGAAATTTCTATGGTGAAAAACTAAGTTTTATAAATGCATATGCTAGTGTTAAAACTATTAACTGTTTTTTTCTAAAAAAAGCCCATAATGGCTTTAAAATAAATCTATTTTGCCCACAACATTATGTGAATGAAGATAATCAAGATAAAAACTCAATTATAAGAGCTAAAATAAAGCCCAAGGAAAAGTTCAAATAAAAGGCTTAATTATAAGAGCCCAATAAAAGATACCATAATTTATAAAATTTTAAATATAATTTATATTTATTTTTCATCTACAAATTTGAATGGCCAACAATGATATTATTTGGTATAGATGGAAAATTAAAAATATGTGATTGAAACTTTTACTCATTAATGGAAACCTACCTCCATTTTCTCTTTTTTTCCCTATATTTTTTCTCTCCAAAAGTTGTTGGCTAAGAGTCTTATAATATCTATAAATATGGGTTGAAATGCTTCATACTTTTCATTGATGAATGAAATATTTTTGTGGAGAAATACTTATCATTTTCTTGATGCTTGATGGTTTTAAGTAGTTTGCTTATGTTTGATGAGCTAGGTAGTTATGTTGATTTTGTTAATTTAATTGTCACTTTTCTTAAACACCAACTCCATCTCTTTAATTTTTTTTCTCTACGTTATAAGTATCCACTAAGACCAATAAACCAATAACCATGATCTTCTTAAAATAATTCTAAGCAGTTCACATAGCTCTCGGCCACAATAGGGACATTAGGACTTAGTCTTGTTCTTTATACATCGTCGCCCATTAAACTGTACCAAAATTTGCAATCAACTTCAGTTCATAAGTTCATATCCTAAGCTAACCCTCTATTATCATTATGATCACATCCTAAGCTACCCTCGACTATCATTTTCAATAATTTATCTCACATAAAATTCATTCCTAAAGTGATCTTTCAAATCAGCCCAAAACAGCCTAAACTGGATTTGTCTTGGCATTTTTATTAGTATACCTCTTTAATCCCTTAGAATTTCACCACAAACTCTAGAACACTTCCATAAATATTAAACTAAAGATCATTAGTTCTTTTTAGCAATTAATTTCACCAAAAGCTTCCCACCGCCATCAATAACTTTGTAGTATTTTTATAAATAGTTTCAGTTGCCCTAAAAAAAACTCATAAATTTAGTTAATCCTATACGTAATCCAATTATCTTTAAAAATTTTGTAGTCACTCTACAAATAGTACTAATTCTAGTTAATATGATAGGAAA